GCAACTGCATCATCAGCGGAAGTAGCTCTATATACTCCTGACCAATCACACGCAGATAGTGTGTTGTAAAGCAGAGTATAATTGCCGGCGGCGAATTTGCGATGGCTGAACTTATAATCAGGATTATAGGTAATATGTGGAAGGTGGACATCAATAATTAAGGGAGGGTGATATGGATCAGGCTTGACCAAATCAGAGTAAGAAGGACTAGGCTTTAGATCGGTGAGATTAGAGAAGACTAAGTCAAGTAAGTTATGGTTGTCAACAGCTACAGCATACTGCCGAAGGCCAAGGAGACATGCGGAAGTGTATATAGCATCCACCTTAAGTTTAGCGTAGTAGTGACAGTTGGGCAGAGGTGACCCACGCACCCAGTTAAAACCAGGAACATTGAAGTCTCCTAATAAAACAACACGAAAGCTATTGGTGTCAAGCATGTTTTCAAGAAGGTGGAAATAATCAATAATGACTCCCGGTGGAGTGTCAGGAGAGAAATAGTGGTTGCCAATAAGCAAATTGTAGCTGTCAACTGTGGGACTCTCAACCCATACACATTCAGAGCAGAGTTCTAAATCATACCTGCGCCTGCAGGAACCCAAGCTGGAGGGAATGGCTGTTAAGACACCACCACCACGAGCTTTGCTGGTGGAAACACTGTCAGACCGGTAAACGGTATATCTACTAGGAAATATATTGCAATCATAGCACGAATCGTTAAGCCAAGTCTCAGTCAGACAAATAATGTCAAAATCTGTGGAACAAACATTATCATAAAATTCAACATATTTCGTCCGTAGTCCTCTAACATTTTGATAATATATTCCGAGACAGCTGGCAGACTTAGAACGAGATATGACCAAACCATCCATGCTAGAGTCGTTATAATCAGCCATGATTAGATGGATGTCGAGCAGCCTCCATCTACCTCGTCGTTAACTGCTGGGTTAACGGCAGATTTAACGGAAGCATCAGACACTCCAGCTTCAGATGTGCTGGGGGTAAATACTTGGTCAGGCGCAAGCTTACCATAATACGGGGCAATTAAGCATCCTGATGGCCAGACACCAACGTCATTGATTAGCGAAAATTCATCCTCAGTAACAGCGATATGGAAGGATGCATAAGTGTTAAATTTAGTTCTAAGTCTGGTGCAAACCAACTTTTTAAGGCTTAATTGCTCCTTGAGGGACTTGTGTACATCATCGGCAGTGACCTCGGGGCTAAATCTAGAAACAAAAAGTGCCTTTGTCCTTTCCTTCTTCGCANCTAGTGCTTCAAAGTATGTTTACTTCAAAATGTTATCCCATTCTTTACTACTCTTTTCCCCTGCAGATTGCATGTCATGAATACAGGCACATGGTACACAAGTACATACAATATTTCAACTGGTATAAAGATGTGCATCAGTGGTTCCTTAGAAGCAAACATATTCACACTTGTAATCATAGCGCAACTTCACATCATATGCATCAATTTCTTACATCACATGACATGGTAAGATCACGTCTCACTCACCCTTTTTATTGATGTGGTTCAATGTTTCCTTGGGCAGCCAGTCATAGTCCACATCATTAGGATTAGAAGTGCCTGTTTCAACCACAGGCTTTTTACCAACCCTCTTCCGCCCAAGAGAATACAGAAACTGCTGACCAACTACAAGCATCAATACTACACATGCTGCCATGAACACATACAGGAAGAACGTCTCTCCATCCAACCCCTCCTCCAGTTCCACAATCTGCACAGTTTCATTGTACACAGCTTCTTGGAACACATTTCCAGCCTGAAACACAATAAAACAGAGGTCAGCTGTAGCCTTCAATTTATAAAGGAAATTTGTTCCATGAAAACTATATATAAGATGCAAATATGTAGGTAAATAAAAAATTATGTTCCCATTAATTTATATGGAAACATTGCTGACTCGTTCATGAGTCGCAGAAAAATCCCTCAGTATGTCTAATGTATTCTTTAACAGCAAATAAGCATTAGAATAAGGACAGTATTATTTGTTTACACTATTTAATGTTGCAAATAAAACTGCATTATTTTAATGACATTTATTTTCTCATAGCTGTAGCTGTGCCAATCACCATCATTCAGCAACAGGTGCTTTAGGAGTGCAGTTCCACAGAATCTGTATCTCCTAATGCATTAGACATGTTCACTTCAAGCCAGTGGTGCAGTGGTGCCCAGTCAAAATTGTCTGATTACCTGCTGTGGAGAAGAAATATAAATATTGTCCCATGTTGCCTATGTAACACGACAAGTAAATTCACGTGGGTCTCAGATTTCGCTAAGACATTTATTGGACAATCTCTTTTACACTCACAATTATTACCAACTTATAACATCCTTTAGACGTTTCCTCTTCACTCTTATAATTACTTGCCCCGCTGATCTTGATGAAGTGTCTTCTGTCTTTTGTCAGATGCGAGCTTGCTTCTGCTCTAGTCAGAGCTACATTAAAAACTGACTGGTCTCATCGAAGCTAACCTGACTTTTGTAGCATGCGCTCAGACTGGCTAGGGAACATCGTGTTCAAGGGTTCTATTTTATCTGCTGGTAGTATTCGTTTCCACATATATCCTTCCATTTCCAGGGTAACGCATTTGTTGTTTAAGCTATTCATAGGCAACACCCTGCTGGTATTCCATTCCCACTGAAGTATACATGTTTATCTCAGCCATTGTCATGCAACTGCCTCGAACAATTCATTGCTTAGGTTTGATAGCATTCGGGTTCCAAGGCGTTGCAGTGGGAATGCTGCTTGTTGCCTAGGAAATTAACTCTGATCACCTCAACCATTCTGGCTTTCTGGCGGTACGCCACAAGGTCATTCTTGCTTAGGCAAATTACCAATGATTTGAACAGTGACTTAATGTAAGTGAACCAAGTTCCTGAATGTTCAACTGCAAACGCCACGTTTCTAGATCCTGGTTTTGCTTTGCCTCAGGTGGGTGAAAGTAAAGTCATTCATTGTATAGAAGACCATCTTCCAAACTTCAGACACTGAAAGTCTGACCCAGAAGTTCATATACAGCATAAAAACTTCAGCCTAGCAGAATGTGAGAGAAACAGAGGGAAAATGTTTGAAGATTTTCTGAGACAGATTGCCAAACACAATGTGTTAGAACCAATCACCGTAAACCTCATGAAATCTTGATTCTATTTCTGTTAAGGCCATTGGACTTTTTCAATTGACATAATCCTTCCAGCCGCACTATGGCCCCAGGGTTGACTCTACATCTAATAGAAATGAGTACCAGGAAACTTCCTGGGAGTAAAGGGCATGTGGCTCATAAGGACGACAACCTCACTGCCTCTGTGAGCCAACTGTCTAGAAAATGTGACAGCCTCAATATCTCCCAACCCCATGGGTCTTCACAGCATGTTACTGGGACAGCTTTACCTTTTTACCTTTGTGTAATATATAAGTAAGAGCTCACTAATTCAAACTAATTTGGAATGAAATCTTGTCCACATTTTCGAAAGCCCAAATTACTGAAGTACTGCTGAAAGTGCAAGGATTGTTGGACCTGTGTTTTAACAAAAAAATTAATTAAGAGAAGAATCTACAGCTGCTTTCAGAAAGACTCAGCTACTGCCCACATTGCACATATGTCTGTGAAAGGCTTTATCTGATGTCTTTGGGAACACAATTATCAGCAGTGATATCTGACCAGCACATTTGCCCAATCTTAATCATCGTGATTGTTTCTTCTTGGGTTGTCTGAAGGACAAAGTTTACAGCAGTAACCCTCGAACAGAAGAACTAAAAGAAAATATTCCTGGAGAACAGCTTCAAACGGTAAATCAGACCTCTTTCACTGGTGTGAGAAACATCTACATATAGAGGGGCAGCATTTTCAACATCTCCTGTGATCTGTGAATTGTAACTACTTCATTCTGAACATTATCAGGCAACAGGCATATTCATTCACTGGCAAAATTCATATCCACCTCGCAGCCAGCAGTGCACCAGTCACTGTGAAGCACAAAGCCACGAACAGATCTAAAAAGGAAAGAACCTCATTGTATACACTGTATATGTATATATATATACAGAGTGTCCCAGGAGGAATGTGCCAAACTTCGGGAGGGTGTTCCTTATGTTAAAAGTATGCCGATATAACCCAAAACACCTATGTCCAAAGTTGAACGGTTACGGAGATAATGGCCCGAGAAGTGTCAAACTTTGACCGGGGTTACACACTTGTTGATTATAAAATACATATTAAAACTGGCAGGAATATGTGGATTCTGTAATGTTAATAATGTACGTAACATCAAACCAACTTGTGAGTGACGGAAAGCCATAAAATTGAAGTACAAAATACTCGCTCGCCATGTCATAATTGTCCTTAGGTTTCCAAGCAGTATACATAACACATGACTGGCGAGCGATGACGTAACGTGCTGACTGCGCGTTCTGGTATGAGCCAACTACATAAGCACGGCTAGGGAGTATCATCGCACTCAAGGACAAACATAGATAAGGGCTCTCAGCTGAGAGGTACAGCGAGGTACAGTGCTTGGACCTGCCAGAAGACCACACTTTTCTTGGGCCATTATCTCCGTAACCGTTCAACTTTGGACATAGGTGTTTTGGGTTATATCGGCATACTTTAACATAAGGAACACCCTCCCGAAGTTTGGCACATTCCTCCTGGGACACCCTGTATATACACACACACACACTACAAACTTGAGAATATGCATGGTGCTTCACATGCAGTGGCAGAGTGAACATAAAGGATCTGCTTCCCACTGTTATCCCTCCTTCACTCTTACCAGCCTCTCTCATAGAAGGATAATACTGTTATTATGAACATCTGTATAGAAATACACTGCAGTTTGTGCAATTCTGATCCTGATTACTATCATAATGCCTGAGATATATATGGTTACAAAAAAAAAGGATGCAAAGTCTTGATTCCTGAACAAAAGGTCTGTGCTGCCAAGGAAATGTGAACATACAAATAAAAATGCAACTTCCTTAGGCATCAGAGGTTCCTTAACAGTATGCGAATCTTCACAGAAATATCAGAACGCTATTCTGCATCATGTGGACCAAGGAAGTTGTCAGCTATCACAAAATGTAGCATTAGATGATGAGTGCCCTTACCAAGTCCCTGTAGTTGAGGTTAATGTTCAAACCAAATGGCCGTCCAGCAAATGCTTCTGCAGGAATAAATGAATATGCAAGAGTTGCTTCATGGTTTGGCTTCACAGCACGGTTATAAGCAATGGTTGAGAAGTTTTGGATGTAGAAGCTGAAGTCCACAGGGTAACGGAAGGATGCCTCCAGGGTTTCCAACATAAAGTCCTGACTTCCCTTGTTTGTGAACCCAACAAGGAACTCAACGAGGTTTCCAGCTGGCAACTCTGAAATAAATCAGACATGTTTACAACATTTAGGCGTTCAGTGGCCACGAGGTTGAAGGAGCATCAGGGGCACATCCATCTTGAACATCCAGAAAAGTCAGCTGTGCATCGATTTGGGAGACTGAATTCTGCATCAGAATACCTCATCCTCACCACCAAGACCCGTTATATGGATCATTGGGGAAGCCATTGAGATTGAACTCCATCCCAACAATATGAACAGAGAGGTGGGGTTTTGTCTCAGCAAGTCATGGAAGCCTCTCATCTGCTCCCTCAAGTAACCTCTGAAATATGGCAGACCCTATAGGCCACTCAGGTCCATTGCAGCCCCTGAGCTACAGGGTTAATGCCTTCCATTTAACATTCCCTTCTCTCCCCCTAATACATACTCTATACCAGCTCTGGCCCACTACCTACTGGCCATTCCACCAGACCCCTCTCCTCCCCCTCTCTACTATTTCCCTATGTAGCCACACTCCTTCCCTCCTTCTCTTATACAGCTGTGTTTACTCGACTGGACTCGATCTGTTGCACCTGCTCTAGCTGGTTCACTCACGGATTTCTTCTTGTCTTCCACCCTGAAGATGGAGGCCATACGTTCCTCCGAAATGTGGGTTAACACAATTTCTACACAGCACCATGTCCCAGAAGACAGCTTTCTTCATCGAACAAATATCTGTTCAAATTTCTGTGGTGTTGCTACAGAAGCTGGTCAGCAAACATTAACCATGTCAAAATATGATACAAAGAAAATGAGCTGGTCACATACTGAATTGCATGCCAATACCAAAAATGAAAGTGTAAAAGAAAATCATTTGGCAAGAAAATAAATAATTCTGAATTATTAGTAACTGCTCTTAAATTATTCCCACTTGTACACTTCTCATTGCAGACATGAAGGTACAGAATGTATCTGCCCAAAGGCTGACCAGATGCCGAAATTATTCTGCATGCTTTCTCTTTCCTCTTCTGTAACAATGTCCAAAGTCTGTGAATGTTCAGTATACCACACTCCACTGTGATCCACTATGTTAAGCTGTAGGTCTCTTCTGCTGGCAGTCATCACCTTCACTACCATGCAAACTTTGGGGTAAAATGAAAATTCCATTTTATGAGTGCGTGTATACCTTCACCCTTGCCAATGGATAGTGAGACATACCTGAAGATATATCCCTAACTCTAGCATGCAGCAGACTGCTATTCTGATCATAAGTCAATGATAGGTTTACTGCACTGTCTCCAGCTACCAAAGTTGGAATGCTGTACAATGTCTATCACTTATATACAGTAATTAGGTTAACCATCAACACAACAAATATACTCACTTTTAATGTTTCACAATTTGACTTTTATTCCTGCTACATGTTTTGGTCATATAAGACTATCATCAGGCAGTTGTATATAGGAATACATACAGTTATGATACAGATCCATACAAGTGCAACGTGTCGTATTATATACTAACATAAATTTCTTTGCCTCTACTTGGTGTTACAATTAAAGCAGATGATACAAGCATCTTTTTACTTTAATTGTAACACCAACTTGAAGCAAAAAAAAAATATGTTAGTATATAACACGACACGTTGCACTGGTGGATCACTTCCAGCAGTCCTTATAAACTATGATAAGCATATAGTATATCTTTATAGTAACCAGTTATGAATTTCTATGTAATATCTATTGGAATATGGATGTTCGTGAGAAGCTAAAGTAAGGGGAGTTGTACTACTTACTATATGAAGAAAGCAGTCTTCTGGGATTTGGCGNCTGACAGACAATAAGTATAAACTGATACAAGAGTCAGTCCTTTTACTATTTCCTTTAAGATCACAGAGTAAACTACCACTGGAAAGCAGCATATTTCACATCTCAATTCAACACTTGTATAAATACTAACATATTTATGTCTTAAATGAGTGCCCCTTATAAGCATTAAGCAGACACTTCTCCAACAGCCCATAAATTTATTACCTTTTTTTTTTAATGCTAGGGGGGTGGAACTAAGTCCCTTGTACTGCGGCCACTTCTGGCCTGTTGTACCAGCCCCAGATGATAGGTGAGAGTGATTGTGGAACAATTGGTGGAATGAAGATTGGTAGGGGAAACCGAAGAACTTGGAGAAAACTTGCCCCAGTGCCACTTTGTCCACCACAAATCCCACTTGACCAGACCCGGGATCGAACCCGGGCCGCCGCGGTGGGAAGTCACCGACTAACCGCTTGAGCCATGGCGCAGCCCACTTTATTACCTTACTGCAACTTATTTTTATGATGAAAATACTATAATTATATAAACAATAATCTAAGTAGTAATAACTTTGATTTTAGCAATAGAACACTTGTGAACAAAATATAATTTAAGAAATCATCATACACCAACCTAGGTTTCCAGATGTACCAGAAATAACAGGCCTGGTGAACAGAATAGTTGTATCTGCATCTGGAGAGGCTCTAGGTTGGGCTTCTTCTTCTTCCCCTCCCTCCTCAGTTACAGAACTTTCGTCACTCTCACCTTCCACATCAACTATCTCGTCATCTGCATCATCTTCTTCTGCTCTAGCAACTAAAGGACTCCCTGAAATGTTACATTATCACGCATTCTTCACGCATATGACCACTTACTCCATGTAAACATTCTCTTTTTAAATGACCTTCAAAATATTACCTTTACATACTCTCATACGAAAGGTTCACATAATAATTCATGCACATGCAACTGAAGCCAATGGTCTACCCAGACCGGTTATAAATGACTCAATCACATACATCCATTTTATTCTACTCACCTTTATCAAGAGCAAGAATGAGAGCTGGCAGAAGCACAGCCAATACGATAAAGTTCTTCATGTTTACGAGTATATATAACACAAGAATTGAGATATGATTTAACTCTTCCTACATAACCACGTTAATTGCACTAAAATTTTAACGTGGCGTACAGCGAAAAGCACTGTGGGAAGTTCAAGACACAACTTGTAGCCTCAACGTGGAAGTAGGACGGAAACACATGGCAGAAAACAAAAGACGTAATAAACATTACAACCAGGCAACCAACACTGGCATCCAGTGGGTTCAGTGGGACCAACGTTATAATCACAACTAATACTTGTGTTAAGGTTATATTAGTCAGTAGTCGGGTGGTAGATAGTGAATGTAAGAAACATACGCTGGATTTAGAACGTACATTTTTGCAACTAATATTTAAACAATGGTTTTTAAATGTCAGGAGGATAGTTTCTTAAAAGAGGTACCAGTACACCCATATTACTTCTACTAATGTATTTAAGCATTCTATTTCAAATATGTGTTGGGAATTGTCATATTGCCGATATTGTAAAACAGACTGCATCTACGTGCGATATGATTGGTATGGCAACGAATAAGCAGTCGTTAAATACAAATTATATTGGTGTGGTCAGAAAAGGAGTAAAGTTCTTTCAAATTGGTTAATGTTTATATTCGAAAACAGAGAAACCCATTTCAACGCTAAAACAATATGCTTTATCAATTATTCGCTTAATACCACATATTTTAACCACAATATTGATTAAAGATCCTGGTTCATTACATGCTTAATGAATGGCAGTATATATTTCATACTTGATTACTGAAATAATGTTCGTTAATAGTTTGACGCATGCTTGAAGTCACACACGTTGTATAGTGGTTGCCTGAACATGTTTGAGTGTTTGAGGGCATTANTTTCCCATGTAAACTTGTCCCTTCCTTTCCTGCTCTCATACTCGTATAGCTGAGTTTATTTCCAACATTAGTCTGCTTGCACCTGTTCTGTCTCTTCACTTGCAGATTTTCTTATTTTTCCTTCTACTCTGAAGATGGAGGTGATACGTTCCTCCGAAACGTCAGTTAACACCACATCTATGCGGTGCCACATCCCAGAAAACTGCTTTCTTCATTGTCACTGCCATGAAAACCTCAAATCTTACATAATGTGATGTAGTCTGTTGAAAGTCAACAGACATTTCAGGGGAACATGTTGCCTCCATCTTGAGGTTCAAAGAGTAATCCAAGCTCTCCTTGCCACCTGCATATTCTTCAACCCTGAAGATAGTGGTGACTTGTTCCTCTGAAACGGTTGACTTTCGATGGCCTACATAACATTATGTCCCAGAGAACTGAACAATTCATCTGTTTGAATGTCTGAGATGTAAGGTCAGATTAAAATGAATCTTAGGTGTTGTGACTTGATGGGCCTAGTTCAGCTGAAATACATTGTTTTAATAACAAAGCAGCTTTGGAATATGATGTTTTATATATTATTCATGTGCTTTCTAGTTCACATCCAAAGTTGTGACATGCACCGAAGGACAACTAAAAACAGTAATCGGTGGAAAGATTACGACTCTCAGTTGTTATGAAGTTGTTCTGGAAGACACCATATTCTTTCCTGAAGGGGGTGGACAGGTATAGTCAATTTTCCTTTGCAATTCTGTACCATTTCTGATATCATGATTCAAATTTGGCCATTCTTAATTAGTTTAAACATATGTATGTTGAGCAAAAGTAAACAATTTTACAGTCTGGTGATCACATGTATTGTTCTGAATCAGGTACTATTTAGTTGTAGAACCAAACCATTTTAAAGCTCGTAGTCACTGTTTTACAGATATTCACAAATTATTACAGTAATTTGTGGACTTCACTCCGGATATGAAGAAACAGGTTTTATCCAGATGCAGATGCTTGAGATATTTGTTCTATAACAGTTTGTATCATATTTACACCCATATACTGCAAAAAAATGTCATGCTGATTATGGGGTACAGGTGGATTAGTGGCAGAGTGGAAAAACTGTTCATCAGTCTTTTCTGGGAACAGAGTCAAGTAATGATGTGAACCTTCTTACATATAATAGACTTATAAGCACAAGCTCTGATATGGAATGCAGCAAAAAAGCTATAACATGAATGATCAGCCTTCACTAATTTTGTTGCTGTTTCTCCATATCTTACAGCCTTTTCAGAACTCTCCCTCCCAATACAAAACTTTTCAAATGAACGTTTATTATTTCTTGTGTCTGAATTCAACATTTTATGGACCTGCAAATATGTTAGCCTTTTCCCACAGAAGTTTAAAATTCATACAAACATAATATGAAGTCAGGATCTAATACCAATACTCTTTTGCACCTGAAGATGACCCAAGAAAAGGGTCGAAACATGTAGTGTCACAACCAACAGCTAATAAAACAAATGTTGACACAGTAGTGCATATTTTTTCTTTTTCAGAACTATTGTTTTTAAGAGACTATCACTGTATTTGCCTGGAGGGATAGAGGAGATTAATAAAATACCTCATTGTTTGGGAGTAACAGGAATAATACATTCTTGGACACTTTGTTGTACTGAAACACATTTTATCCTTCCAAACAGCCATGTGATCATGGTTTAATGGATAATGTGGCAGTCCTGCATGTGACAAGACGTGGGACAGAGGCTGTCCACTTTGTGGAATCTGCATTACCAGTTGGCAAACTGGTTAAGCAGAAGATAGACTGGGAGAGACGTTTGGACCACATGCAACAGCATTCAGGTAAGAGACGTGTGCAGGAGGAACCAGGATTGAATCGCACAGCGGTTACTGGCTGTTTCGACTGAGACCCTTCATGATTTTCTTCAGTCTCTCCAGTGAACTGTCATTGTTAAGCTGAGTTTCAAACCAGGCACCTCTCCAATACAGATCGCAAGTGTTACCACTTGGACCAAGTTGCTTGGTTTGAATACTGTTAGGATAACTGTATTAAAGAGAATAAGATAGACTGAACATACAGCACATGAAAGAATGATATTAAGATTTTAAATGGACTGCACAGGTTCAGGATCATGTCTAGATATTAGCAAAGTTGAAGATTCAGGTTCTCAGGAGATAATGATGCAATCATGTCCAATTCTCAGGCCAACACCTCATCACAGCTCTAGCAGATATATACTTCAGCTACCCCACTACATCCTGGTGGCTGGGAGAAGGGGAGTCATACGTAGAATTTGGTGAGATGTAGCACAATGACCAACTCTGATTTACATCACACATTTTTGCTGTAAATCTGGAACATGCCTGTCATCACACTGACTTTGGTTTAAGGTTTGTTGCTGTGGCTAGTTCTAATACTGATGTGATCCCTTCTGAGGCTTTATTTATTTTTAAAAGCAGTCCAATACTGACCACTTGCTGAACCTGCCACAGTTTTACAGAGATTTTTCACTAATCTAAAAGATTTCAGGCATGTCTTCTAATGGAATATATGGTCAGAAATAGAGCATCAAGCTGATGAATTACATACTAAGTTATAATTTCTGCTGACCATATTGTATTGAAGGAAATATTTTGTTATCATTTTAGATAATCATTAAAGAATCATGAAACTGGCTGGTCCAGTGCAACACTGTAATGATTTTTAACGTTTGCAGATATCCGAAGTGTTAAACCATTAAATCTGGACAAACTAGAAGACCTTGTTAATGAGAAAATACGAGCAGCAACTCCTGTCTTTGTCACAGTATATGAAGAAGGTGACACAGAGCTCAGGAAAGTGAGTTACAATACAAATAATGCAAGACATGTAGGATTACTAAAGGTAAAGTTGTCCCTGTGCTTAACTAATTAAGTACTACACTATATGAAGGCGTATGGGGGAGTGGATGTATAGACCCACATTTTGTTGACCTTGGCACTAGTTGGAGGTAAGCAATCAGCTTCACACCCCAGCTGATTTACCCCCAGTACCCATCGGATAGGAGGTTTGGTGGACCCCACAGCTGGTCTGGACATGCAGATGAGAAAATTCTTGACCCCACCAGGACTCGAACTTCGACCACTCCATTATCCAGCCAGTAGCCAGTTGCTATACCAACTGTGCTATCCCGGCGCACTGTAGGATTACTAATTTTCCAGAAGTGGAGAGGCATATTCCAGAGAGTTTACATTGCTCATAGGTCTTGAGCTATTGAAAGACTCAGCAAATTAGCTTATAGATATTACACTATAACATGTAAAGTTGTCCATGTTTAATTAAAGTCCCACACCATGAACATGTACAAGGGAGTGGAGGTATAGATCCATGTATTCTTAACCTTAACACTAGATGAAAATTAGTGGTCACCTTCATGCCTTGGTTGCTTTACCCCTGAGGGAAAGGCCTCTGTTACCCACTGGACAGGAGGATGGGTAATAAAAGTGCTGGAGTAAACCTTGCAGTATGTTACATTGGCTCTAACTGACATGGCATCCTCAAGACTGGATGGTATGTTCACAAGAATACTTAAAATCAGTTAGAGAGTAATGATGCCATGACATACATCAGGAGAACAAGGAGTTTGTACTGATTTTATCTGCAGTGTAATTTTGGAAAACACTACACTGATAATGGTGCTACTTGGAACAGTTGTCCATTGTCCGTTTGAAAGACCACTCCATTACAGGAAATTAATGTTATTGTAGGTGAGGACGAGAGGACTGCCAGATGATCACAAGGGGGCAGTACGCATTGTGACAATTGAGGGGGTGGAGAGCAACATGTGTTGTGGGACACACGTAACAAACCTGAGCCAGCTGCAGACTATAAAGCTGCTGCGCATGGAGAAAGGGAAGAAAAATAAGATGAACCTGTATTTCTTGGTGGGAGGACGTGTATTGCAACAACTATCAGCATGTCTACATCGTGAACACCAACTCACTGCTCTGCTGAAGTATGCCAGACTGTTACCACTGTTCATTAATTCATTCTTCTCTAAGCTAATGCTAGTTATTTGGCTTACTTACAAACTCCAGCCAGTGGTGTTAAATTCTGCATCATGCAGTCCTTTTTAAATCATTCCATATGACATAATGTACTTGAACAAAGGGGAGACCCCAGAACTATAAAACTTCACAAGAAGTGACAGCATATAGTCTGTCCAACAATTTGACGCTATTTGTATACACAAATTTGGTGAAATAGGTTATCAAGGAGGAGTAATCAGTTATAAAATGTCCACATAAACGTGAAAAATTGTTTATAGCTAAACAATTACAGACATGATGAAAGTGTGAAACTTTAGTCATGCCTGAAAAGTTTTCCATACACAAAAAAATTGCTTAAGTAACAGGTTCTTTAAAAAGATAGCAGATAACCAATATATATTTACAGTTGTAAACAACAGAATTTTGACTTGCTAGAACGATCATCTGCGCATGATTCCAGCACCCTAGCTCATGAGTGGAATTAAATGTCATTATTGCAATGTAAATTAACATTATCTGAATATATCATTAACAGTATATGAGTTGTAGTACTGTAAGTTCATGCAATAGGAAAGTTAAGACCTATCCAGTTCTTGTTAATATCAGGGTAGGATTTATTGATTTTAATCACCCTTGTGCAAAGTGGTTGGTTCATGATTAATAAAGCTGTTGTTGCTTCCAGAAATGGGCCTGCAGACCATGTTGAGTTGGTGGACAAATTGCAGAAGTCTTTAAAATGTGCCAACAAGGTACATACCACTAAGGGAAAATTTGCAACTTCTGATTTGATATGAAATTACTTTATCTATACCATTTCAAGTGTAAATAAGATATAAAAGTTTGTGCTGAGAGTATATTAATACATTTATGGGGTTTCTAGACATTATCCATTGCCCTGTTTTTATTTAAAATATGCAACATTTTGGAGACTGATTTATGCCTGTCTTTAGGTGGAACCTACTCAGTTAGGGACAATCGATAGAGCTAGTCCCTATACCAGGACTGGGAGGTAGGTGGGTCATTCCATGTGAATTCATCCAGATAGGTCGCTTGACCATTTAAAAAAAAAATATATATATATATATTTTGTACACTTGTTTCTACATATTTTCATACTTCAGAAATATTTTTAAAAAATATTAATCTGCTCGGTTCTCCCGGCACAGCCGTTTTTATAATGCAAAAAAAACGCGTTTTTGGCTGAAATGGAGGTTTGCGTTGTCTTCTATATCTTGATAACTATTGATGCCAGAGACTCCAATAAAAAACCAGTGAGTTTCTCATGATATGGACTACAAATCATGTCATTACAAGTTTTTACTCAACTCACTTCCTCTATGTCTAATAAAGCTTGAAACTTACCTATCGATTTTGGGAGAAAAGCAGTTTTTGACCTTCAAAAAACAGTGGGAGGGGGAAAGTATCACATCTGTGGATCAAGATTTCAGAACATTGTTATAGCAGTACTCAAAGCACCCCTGGAAAATGATTTCTGGCAATGTTTCCAGACACAGAAAAAGCTATTTGGTGAATGCTTTGAAGATGACCATTCTGTAAAGGTCAGACACAATATTTCTTTTAAATAATCAGTCCAGTTGTCAGACTGTGTGTGAAATATTGGGACTATAAAGAGGCCACAGTATATAGCATGGTAAAGGTAAAGCTGCCGGTCACGGTCTAAGGCATGCACTGTCTTTGCTCGCTCAGAAGCCAAGATCATGGGTTCGAATCCCACTCAGGGCATGGATGTTTGTGTGTGTTTTTCTGTGTTTGTCTACAGGTAGAGCCCTTGTGACGAGCTGATCACTCACCCAAGGAGGCCTACCATATGTGTAAGATCTAGAAAAACCGAAGTGAACGGAAAAGTTCATGGAGGTAGGCCTAGGCCCATTGGGGCTGTAGTGCCAAGGAAAAAAGAAAAAAAAAAACGTAAAGCTGTCCCTGTGTTTAACTAATTAAGCACTACACCATGAAGGCACATGTGGGAGTGAATGTATAGATCTGCATTTTCTTGACCTCAGCACTATCTGGAGGTGAGTGGTCAGCTTCACACCCCAGCTGCTTTACTCCTGGGGAAAGAGCCCCTGATACCCAGTGGGTAGGAGGTTGGGTGCACCCCACAGCTGGTCTCAATGACAGGACTTGAACTCTGACACCTCGGTCATCCATCTTGTAGCCAGTTGCCATACCAACTACGCTAGCCTGGCTCCTGTGTGTGGAATTGATGGACCCCAAAAACACAGTAAAAACTGCTAAAAATAACTTCAAAATTAGAAACTTACGTGTGTCAGAATGCAATATTGCAGAGTACAAGCCACTGTTTATTTCTTGAATTGTGTTTTCTTAGCAGCTGATGGAACCATTGTGATGGGATACATACATGGCCTAATACCTGCAATTAACGAGTTTACGTAAACTATCACTAAAAAACAAAACCTAACCAGCAGACCAGACATGTTACAATTGGTTGTGGTTGTCATGGTTGCAGAACCTGCAGGCTGTGCTTCGAGAAATAGCAGTACGTGAAGCTGCATGTATCAAGCAGCAGGTGCCCATCCCTCGTTACTACTCACTTCACAGGTAATTCATGTGCATTAGAGGGGCATGTTATGAGTTAAGAATCTGCCATCCCAAAATGTTTGTGTGAGAGAGAAGGGCACTAAAATTTCTTGGACCAACAGCATCACTACTCATCAAAAGACCAACATGCTGAGGACTGGCTGTCTCCATGAACAAAGTCAATATTGGGAACGACCACAAATATCTGAACATATGCACATGCACACATATCCCTGTGTCTGTATAAACATCGGTGTAAAGACCTTGCACATACTTTCCTCATATGCTTGGCCTTGATTGTTACCTTGGTAAACCACTGTTGGTTACTGAATACTGAACAACAGTGAATTCTGTCCAACTGGTATAACCAGTTTGAACAGAATTGACATTTCTCCCTTGGGTCCATAGTGTGCATACTGTTATGTTCCTGAAGATACCACCTATGCAGTTTTATTTAAGGACATTAGCTCTATAAACTGCTGATCGCAGCAGCCGCGTGGTCTAAGGCATGAACTGTCTTCACTTGCTCGAACTCTGGGAGCGTGGGTTCAGATTCCACTCAAAGCATGGATGTCTGTGTGTGTTTATTGTGTAGGTAGTGGCCTTGCAATGGGCTGACCCCAGACAAAGGAGTCCTATCAACTGTGTACAGGATTAAGAAACTGAAAAAGCGGCAAGTTCCAACAAAAGGACTGTAGAGCCATAGACTGATAGGTATTCCACAAACTACTGAAATTGACTCTTTCAAGAAAATTACCACTTCGTTTTGGAGGCCTATTTGAAGGACCTCTATTTTTGGTTGCTAGAATTTTCATATTCACTAGGCACTGACCTACAATGGACGTACTCTTAAATAATGAATATGCATAAAATCCATCCAGTCTGACATTAGTATACGTACAGCAGTGTAGGCAGGTGGGACCTCAAAAACAAATATTGTGTTTAGAGGTGCTGAAAATGCATAAATCCATCAAAATCTCATAATTTTCATTATGACAGTACTTTCCCATATGCACTGTGTGTATATGAGAGGGAGTAAAAAAGTAATGCAACATCTCTGTGTCACTTGCAAAGAGTTTGTTGGAACTTTGACAGAAGTGCCATTTGACAGCTTGCAGGTGGCCATAGGCATACCCATTGTATATATGTGTGTGTGTGTGTGTAGTCACTTATGTTAAGTCACTGCACTGCCTCTTCTTCGCTGGTAATACTGGTACGTTGAACGGTGTCAGGGCACAGTCAAATTGAATGGTCCACATTTCCAATGTAGACTCAGCTCAGTGATGCTTATCCTGATGGCCAGGTTACCTGCTTAACTCAGATAGCGACTATCATCTCTTCCCCCTCAACCATTTTAAAGCCTGGAGATAGTCCATCAGCTTGATGACTGATCCTCATTGCTGAGAACAGACTGTGCCAGTTCACCAACACATATTCTTCCAAACCAACTAGCAGGACTGGCAACCGTAGTTGGTTTCACAGACCACCACATTAAGAGCTCAGCAGCTTTCGTACACAGACTATATTTCACCACTGTACAAGAAACAGGCATGCGGTAGTGTAGTTGATTGAGGCACTATGCTACAAGCCGGAAGGTTGCGGGTTCAAGTCCCGATGAGGTCATTGGGTTTTTCCAACTGACCTAATCCTTCCAGCTGCACTATGGCCCTGGAGTCAACTCAGCCTCTAACAGAAATGAGTACCAGGAATATTCTTGAAATGTTCTTGGGGGTAAAGGGCTGCCCACGCGTAGGGCTGACAACCTTGCCACCATCTATGAGCCGATCATCTGGAAAATGTGGAAACCTCAACATCTCATAACCCCATGGGCCTCCACGGCCTGTTACAGAGACAGGTATCTTGGTCAGTCTTGATTCTGTTTCCTTCTTCACCATAGCTCCATACAAGGAGCCTTACAGCTACCAGAGCAGCAATTTTAAGCTGGATGTCACATCTATTCACAGACTTTAACATTCACTTTCTCTAATTGAAAATACACATGGAGTCACTCCTTGCACTGGTGATGACCAATAACTTTGTCAACTATTTCGAACAGCCCTTGTTGATACCTGTCTCCTTGCCACATGGAATGGAGGAATTACAACAATTTTACATTTAAATAACATGTACAACTACTTGTCTGAGGAAACTGAAAAAAAAAAGCGGCTTCCATACTCTCCTACACATACTGGTGACGAAAAACTTGGATGGCTCATATAGAAATGCCATGCATACAGATCTTTGTCTTCATGCAGAGTCATTCCATTGCCCAGCACAGAAATGTATGGATACCTACATTTATTAACCACGTCAAGATATTCTGCGACACAAGAATCTGTGATGGAATTTGACACCTATGGGAAGTGTTCAGATGGACTGTACAACACAGCCAACTTTAACATAGTTGGCATCATAAATGCAGGAAAGCTATATAAAGGGACACCAGTCAGAGTGTCCATATTACTATTCCAACACACTACACTGAATCAAATTATTGGTAGGTCAGAATTTCTCATGAAGTATGGTTCACATCCTAGCTAAGAAGTGTTCACACATGATAAGTCCTGTCAAGGATGGCTCAAGAATATTGTGATTTCAGGGGTTTTAAAACAATCCAGTGTGAGTGTGGAACCGTGTATGTAGGAGTGACAGGACAATCCACTGAGAAAAGATGCACGCAATATGCCTGGCATGTATGCCTCTTTTAGCTGACCTAGTTATCACTGGCAGAACACAGCACAGAATTGGGCTGTCATCTTAAGATCCAAGCAAGCTACACAGATGTTACTTAAAAGATTGGGTTACATGGACCTACTTTAAGAGGTAACTGAAGCAAAATTATGTCCAAAACAGACGAGGGACTACTCTCCAGATAAGTAACTATGAACATGTTCTACAGTGTGTGTGTGTAAGACTGCTCAGTGTGACTCCGCACTTGCATCACCCAGTGCACAATCAGCAAGGAAGATTGCACATGCACACACACATCCCCCTCCACCTCCATGATTTCAGGTTATTTCCCACATTGACTGTAATTATGGAGACAGCCAATTTCGAACACAATGGCCTTCCGGCTGAGCGAATCTTAGTGCACTTATTTGCTCCAGAACCTGTGAATTTTATTATATCAAAAAAAAACCTTTTCCAATAGAGCATGGACTTATAAATATCGGTAACAAGGAAGAGGAGGTAGAAAATCTAAAACAAGGTTATTAGACAATATTTTCTTTTTACCTAATGATGCTGTCAGTACCTAGACTGTATATGGTTGGAGGACTGGAGAATCAGAATTTAGAAGTAGTCATTGCCTAATTAAGGTAGTATCCTAGAATTTGCCTGGAGGGACTGAGGAAAACCACAAAATCATCAGTCAGGATAGTTTGTCCTGGCCAAAATTCAAACTGAGCATCCCCCAAATATAAGATTAGAGCATTACCTCTAGACCAAACTTTTCAATAGGCGAGATTTAAATTTGGTGAAAATAAGGGTATGTACAACACAGTATATGTTCTTTGTAAACATCAAAATTGAAGGTGTATATTAAGCAGCCACTGATGCGGTTAAATGAGGAAACATATGTAACAGAAAACATGAAAAGAATGGACACAGACAGTCGCTGGCTTCCCGGGTCTGGTCAAGTGGAATTTGTGGTGGACAAAGTGGCGCTGGGGCAGGTTTTCTCTGAGTGCTTCGGTTTCCCCTGCCCATGTTCATTCCACCAATTGCTCCACAATCACCCTCACCTATCGTGGGGCTGGTACAATAGGCCAGAAGTGGCCGCAGTAAAAGGGACTTAGTCCCACCCCACTGGCAATAGATCTCAACAGTCCTCTTCTGTTCACGTTACTGGCTGGTGACTGTCTCGCAACTTCTGTCTGTTCTTCAGAATCAGAGTTACTTTACAGCTGGTGGTTTACTGCCAATCAGTTCGTCTTGGTGCCAAGCCTCTTGAGACCCTCAATCTTTTTGCAGCTGAACCTTTGTGTTCATAGTCCTTGTGTAACATCCTCTCTGAGGACAGGATGGGGGTTTCCTTTAATGAATATGCTTGACCTTAGCCAAGGGTACATATTGCACGTATGGCATATTATTAAAAATTCTTGCTTTTGCACTATATACAAGTCCTCCTGTCAGTCCCGGCTTTGGAAAGATGATGATGCCTATCTTACTTATCCTATGCTACAACGGCAGCTAGTCACTTAGGTGGCTGTAAGCTTGACCACTGCCGAGGCTAAGCCTCTTAAAATTTCTATAGCTGGCTTCACCTTGGCCTATGATGCAAACGTTTTCATTGTCATGATTCTGTATGACTTCTGCATTGTGTCTGAGGTCTCCTTATATAACCTCATCACAGACCACACAGAATACACTGTTTCTAACAGTGTCTTGAACTTTTATAGCAGCCGTTAACTAGCAGTCACCCAACCGTTTACTCTGTTGTTGCATGTGCATTCGTTGCCACAGCTCTCTCTTTACGCTCCATTATTCTGGTTTCAGCCATCATGTCACAGTATATTAATATCATTATGTTTTTGGACATTATCAATCATTCTATTTTATATTTAACACATTGCGGACCGGAGGGGCCATATGGCCCTCTACGGTCACATTATGTTGCAAAACGCTATATATCGCTGTGTGGCTTCGTTGAATCGTAACTACTGCATAGATGACCTCGGGAATGATTGCTGCCTTATCTAGTAACTCGACTAGAGTCATTTCCTGTCACAACCTAAACAAAATTGGCTTTGTTCTAATCCAAGCTTGCACGTATGAACCACGCAGCTACCAGTTCAACATGGCTCAGAGACGAAAGCAGTTGCGATCTCTCGGAGGACAGGAAATATTAGATATGTTCTCCGATGAGCTATCAGATTTGCCAACTGCTTCGTCTTCTGATAGCGAGGCCATTATCAGTGACAGTGACAGTGACGGGGGCCACAGGGCTGCCCAAAATGTGTCAAGTGAAAGTGAGAGCTC